AGTAAAACTTCTTTTGGTTTATTTCAAGTAAGGAAAGATAATTGAGCTTCACATCTGCATTTGACTTATTTCCTAGAGAGTCTCCTAGACAGAAAAGACAGAAAATGTTTTAATTAAATTATCTTTCTTCATATATGCAAAGCACCCGACTCTTTGTTTCCTTTGTTTTACTTGTCAACAAAGTGGCGTAAAACATGACAATCATTGAAAAAGCAAAAACAAAGAAAGATTAAAGAATGAAATACATTATTTTTTGTGTTAAAAGTGGCAAGCAAAATGAATTAAAATAGAATTGAAACTGACTAGCCGGGCAGCTCGTTTATTTTAGCTTCCGTTTATTTTTCTTGCGTTTAAAAGGGTTTTTTTTTAAGCCGTGCTAAATCCTGAAACTCTGTCACAAACTCCGCTCATCGTTTTCGAGGAAAGCAGGCTTCCTCCTGCTATAAACTTGAACTAAAAAATGTTAGTGAGTAAATTACGTTTTCCTTCAAGTAAACACAATATGAAGGACGTGAAAAACGCCAAAGACTGTTAACATCAGAGATAACGATTTACGATGGTAATACAGTGAAGCCTGTATTGGGCGGACACCCTTGGGACCGTCACTAGTATCTGCTGAATACAGGGTGGAAAACAGGGTGTCCGTTCTAAGCAGGTCCTGATATTTTGTGAAATACGAGGTAGTGTTTGTGATACACAGTCGTGGCTCATTTCGCAGCACCCACTGTTGCTTGAAACATTTTTTTTCGCGCCAATAGATTGAATCGTTTTATGATTGGTTCTTTTCAATCTTTTCATGTCAATTATTTCAAGGGGGCGGTTAAGCATAAACAATGGTGCGACTAAAGGCGGATTTTTTTCGCCTCGCGCTTCGCGCCGGCGCTCGTGTATCGCGTTTTCCAGCTAATCCGCCTGTTTTGCAGGCTAAAGAAAAAAAGAAGAAACCTGGCTATTCTCGTCCCCATTGCTACCTGGCTGGAAAGCGCAGGGGCTTGATAATCACGTTGCTGATATGTTAGATGTGGTCTTCTTTGCAGGGGTAAGTTGGAGTTTTAACCTGTGCCGTTGCTGAACATATTGCAACATATACTGCTGCATTTTCAGCCTCCTTCATCTCGTTCCATGATCATTTTGTCACAAAGTANTGCAAAGCACCCGACTCTTTGTTTCCTTTGTTTTACTTGTCAACAAAGTGGCGTAAAACATGACAATCATTGAAAAAGCAAAAAAACAAAACAACAACAAAAAAAAGATTAAAGAATGAAATACGTTATTGTTTGTGGTAAAAGTGACAAGCAAAATGATAGAACTGAAACTGGCTAGCCGGGCAGCTCGTCTGGTCTGTTCAGACGACTTCTTTGCAGAGGTAAGTTGGAGTTTTAACCTGTGCCGTTGCTGAACATATTGCAACATATACTGCTGCATTTTCAGCCTCCTTCATCCCGTTCCATGATCATTTTGTCACAAAGTATCTTCGTCCGCTATATTGGATACTCTACGTTTAGAACATTTCCCGCTGACCGAAATACCCGATAGCATTAAATCGACGTTCGGTGACCCCCGTTTTTCTTGTGATGGATCATTTTCTCTACCGATTTTCTACGTTTAGCGAAAAATGAAGAAAATCTTTCGACTAGAAGTTTGAAGTTTTTGCAAAATGCACCATCGAATTCCGTTCTTTTGAGCTCAGTCTTCGTTTATCTGTGCGACGGTTTCAAATGCCTCTTGAAGGGTTACGTTTTGTGAAAACGTTGGTAACATTTGGAATTATGTACGTAACAGACCCACTTCTACAAAAGATGACTAAGATCGTTTGCCTCCGTTGACTCACCTTCGATATTTTTAACTATAAACCCCTGTAGACCATGCTGAATTATATGCGCCAATTTTTCAAAATCAGGGTAGTTTTCCACACACTTTATCTCTGAAACGAAGTCGGTGCCCCTTTTTGCATTTCTGAAACAAGTAACTAAAGAAAATCTATCGCCTGGAAAATTTTCGCGCGAACGTCTTTAACTGCACTGAATTCAACACGACAGAAGTGCGATGTATGAACCAATGACTAGCGATCATGCAGTTACAAGTTACGGACCTTTTACTGATCGTTCTCCTTTTTTCCCACAGGTTACTTGAAAAGCGAATCATTTACCAATAGCTGTCATCTTGTTGGTTTCAACATAACTACTGGAATCGCTGTCACCGCCTTTACCATGTCCTTTTTTACCATGCTAGGAAACGCCTTAGTCGTGGTCGCAATCGCAGTGGACCCGTACAAAGAGCTGAGAACCATTCCCAACTACCTTATCTTGAATTTAGCCGTGTGTGATCTGTTCGCGGGCCCTAGTGAGCTGTTGTTGGGCTTGCTTCGTTTCACTAATAACAATTTCAACTTGTATTTCGCGGCTTACACTTGTATTTACTTTTCTATGGTTGCTTCTGCTCTGACGATATTGACACTGGCGTTTGAACGATACATCGTAGTGGCAGCACCTCTCCAAAGCAAAGATTACCTGATTTACTCGCATTTAAAATTGGCCATTGTCTATATCTGGCTTATAGCGGCCTGTGTGGCGCTGCTGTCGTTGCTGAACAAGTGCCACGAGGCGGAGTATCGACGGATAGTCTCCAATGCGATTGGCATTCCAACGATTGTTTTTATGATTGTTATTTACCTAAGAATATTTTACTTGGTGCGAAGATGCATTCGTCGGGACCTCGAACAAAGCATTGGAAGTGAACAGCAGAGCTTGCTGCGAAGTGTAGACGAGTTAACTGAAGACATCCGCAAGCGAGAAAGGGAGGTGGCGTTCTCGGTTTTTCTGTTTGTTGGTGTTTTCTTCATCTGCTGGGCACCTTGTTTTGTTATGGAAAATGTCATTCCCCTTGATCACAAAGAACCGAGCAAACTGAAAACTGTTGCGAACTGGGCTAGGTTTTTGGGACTGGTAAATTCATTATTGAATCCTTTGATATACGCGTTAAGATACAATAAGTTTAGAAAAGCAGCCTTAGCGATAATTTTCTC